AAAGTACTGACTTGTGGTTTGGCATATATGTGCAAATATATATATATATATATATATATGAATATTAATCTTTATTGAGGATCAGAAATATTCTAAATTTACTAAACCCAGAGACTGCCAATAAACTTTACAGTCAGGCAACTTGTTCATTTTAATATGTTCTTAATTAAAGTTCAAAAGAAAGCCACTTAGTTTGTAAGATCAGCTGTGAAACGTCTATAAAAAGCTGTGATAAGCGAATATGTGCAAACTCTTATACTGAGCAAACATGGATCTTCTGTTTTTAAGGATCGGGCATTATCACAACTTCTAGGGATGCCTAATACCCATATTCTTGTAGAACCTATTGTGGAGAAATGACAATTAGTAAACAAAATAATAATAATAATCACAAGGCAACAAAATCTGGGACAACATGAAGCGGGGCAATGTGAGGGGTGTGATGTGGTAAGTTCTGAGTTGTGTAGTCCCTGGTTCCTGAGTGACAAGGAGGAAATGGTCATGACGAAGCATGAGGACAGAGTCCTGCAGGCAGAAGGAGCTCCGTTCCCTGCTGAGCTCACAGTTAGTGCTCCCCCAGTACCCATCCTGACACAGCAGCTCGCAGTGTGATTCAGGAAATCACTGTTAACTAAACAAGAGTCTCTCTTCCAGTGACAGGGAATTTAGAAAACTATAACTGAAAGTCATCAAACATTTTGCCCTTCTGTGCACACACCATACGTATGCCGAGATACAACTCATGGACGGCAAAGGAAAATATCTGCTAATCTTCACATGTGGGATTATAACTTCTTTTCTGTATTACACATCATTCATCTTCTGTGACTTCAGTGTGTGATTTAAGAAAGGATTTTGCTAATGTTCTGTTCCCCTTCGTTCTCTGGAATCATCTATTAATTAGCCTTGTTCCTCAAGCTTCTTGACAAGTGTGATCCTGTAACATTTTTCCTATAAGATAGGAATTATGAAATATGCCATTTTGTTCCCTACTTTTAGGGATCATCTTACTCACTTTTGTGCCAGAAATTATTATTTGCAGTTGTTCTGGAAAAACTCAAATGGTTTAACAGAGGGGACAGTGGAATTTAATAGGGTACATGGACAGGAGTAATATGCTACTAATAATAATGACCAATATTGGTTGTACACTATATTCCTGCATCGTTAAATCTCACAACACTATGGGGGAAGTGTTATTATTTATATTGTACAAATTATTAAATTGAGTCTTGGAAAGTTTAGATAACTTAGGGCCAGCATTGTAGCATGGTGGGCAAAGCCACCATCTGCAACACTGTCATACCTTATGGGCACCAGATAGAGTGCCAAACTGTTCCACTTCTGATCCAGCTCTCTGCTAATGTGCCTGGGAAAGCAGAAGAAAATGGCCTAAGTCCTTCAGTCCTTGCACCTAAATGGGAGAGCTGGAAGAAGCTGCTGGCTCCTAGCTTTAGCCTGGCCCAGCCCTAGCTGTTTCAGCCATCTGGGGAGGGAACCAGCAGATGGAAGCTCTCTCTCTCTCTCTCTCTCTCTGTAACTGAGCTTTTCAAATTAATAAAAATAAATCTTTTTTTAAAAAGTATGTTTAGATAACTTGCCTGAGACCACATGGTTCTAGGGGAAACTAAACACAAACAATCTAACTCCATATTTGCATAGCAAAAGTCTGACTATACTGTGACTATACCATACTGTTCATATGGGGTGCGGAGTGTGGAATTATGGAGAATGTCAAAGAAGATAAAGAAATACTAAGTGGCTTCAGCAAGGAACGAACAGACTGAGAAAAGAGATTTAGAAGTCATCAGCTGCGCCACATGATTCTGAGAGTGAGCGCCTTCTTAAATCTTGCACCCTCGCTTTCTCTCCCATATCTAACAAGTCCTGGCTCGGGGAGGTGGCATCAGAGTATAAAATGATAATAGGCAGGTACAAGAAGAGGGTAGTCTAGGACCTGGTGGATTACACAAAGGCCTTTGTCTTTTTCTCTGAGTGAACTGTGAAGTCATTGGAAGGTGTTGAAGAGAGAAATAGCATGATCTAAGTTAAGCATTCCACTTTGGCTGTGGGTTGATAACAAGCTGAAGGAGGGTGAGGGCAGAAGCAGGGGTGCCCGTTAAGAAACTATTGCAATAGTTCAGGCAAGAAGTGATAGTTACTTGGACCATGTGGTTGTGGGATGGTGAGAAGTAGTTAACTCTGGATAGATTCTGACATAATTTTCTGTGAAACCAGATGGGAGATATGAAAGAAAGAGGAGAATCAAGAAGGACTGAAGTATGTGCCTTAACATCAAGGAATCTAAGACTAATAAAAAAACACTTAGACTTATAAATATGCCATCAAATCTTCATGAGAATGTTTCCTGAGGATTGGTGAGAATGGGAATAAGGTTGAATTAAGTTGAGGAACAAATGAAAGATAAGGAAATAGATGTAATGAGCATAAACTATAATTGTATATATATGGAAAGGAAACTAAATAGTAGGTAGGGTACACTAGGTCAAGGAAAATGTATAAATAAATAGACAATAGATGAACAGAAGGAAGGGAGGAAGGAAGAAAAGAAATCAAGGAAGGAAAGATGGAAGGAGAGAAAAAGAGAGAATAAAGAAGAAAGAAGAGAGAGAAAAGAAAAGAAGCAAGGCAGAAGAGAAGAGAGATGACAGAGACAGGAGAAAAATCCAAGTATAGATAGGTGGATGGGTGGATAGGTGGATGGGTGCGTGGGTAGGTGGATAGATACATACATACATTCATACATACATTAAAAATTGAGTATATCAGGCCGGCGCCGCGGCTCACTAGGCTAATCCTCCGCCTAGCGGCGCCGGCACACCGAGTTCTAGTCCTGGTCGGGGCGCCAGATTCTGTCCTGGTTGCCCCTCTTCCAGGCCAGCTCTCTGCTGTGGCCAGGGAGTGCAGTGGAGGATGGCCCAAGTGCTTGGGCCCTGCACCCCATGGAAGACCAGGAAAAGCACCTGGCTCCTGGCTCCTGCCATCGGATCAGCGCAGCCCGCCGGCCGCGGCGGCCATTGGAGGGTGAAACCAACGGAAAAAGAAAAACTTTTCCCCCTGGAATTCCCATCTCTAAGTGGCCACTGTTGTAGTGTAAAAAAAAAAAAAAAAATGAGTATATCTATTTACTAGAAAAAAGAAACTAACATAAAAAGAGTGAATGAAAGCACTAAGAGAAGAGGAGGGTGATTAACTGAGTCCTCTGAAGAGATGGGAATGGGCATGACTGCAGCCACAAGCACAAGTGGAGAGGCTAGGTCTGAACACTGAAGGATTTGGGGGGGAGGAAAAGAAGGAGGGTGGCTGCCACTGTTGCTGAGGTGGGAAGCAGGAAGTCGAGAATCCCGATCTCATAGGCTATACTTCTCTGTGAATTATAACCATAAGCCGGGTGGGAGGCAAAGATGACATTTCAAGTAGTTGGGTTCCTGCCACCCAGGTGGGAGATCAGGACCGTACTCCCAGCTCCCAGTCCCAGCCCCAGTGCAGTTCCAGTTCTTGTAGGCATTATAGCATGAATCAGCAGATGGGAAATATCTCTTTGTGTCTCTTTTGCCTTTCTCTCCCTCTCTCTCCCTCTCTCTCTCTCTCTCTCACTCTCTCTCTCTCTCATTCTCTCTCGCCCTCACCCTCTCCCTCTCAAGTAAGTTTTTGAAAAACTTTTTGAAAATAATATAGCAATTTCCGTTTTAAGACTTATCCATTTCAACATCTAGTTTCTCAAGGAGTAACAGATATCACACAAATATAAACTTTTCATCTCGCCTTATTTTATATTTTTCCAAGACCAACATTATTTAGCCTTTACCTGAAACATAAATCTTAAAATTAAACCATTTCATTCTTGAAACTTTTCCAGCATACCCTTAAGGTTTCTTCAAGTCCTTCCATTTAAGCAAGAGATAATTAAATGTAGTGGAAAACTGCCATATCATTTCAGTAGTTGTATAATTTATTTTATTTCATTGGGCAATGTGCTCAGCAACTTGCACATTAAGTTTTCTATTAAGATTATATTAATACCATAAATATGCAAAAAGGAAACCACTCTGGAAGTTCCAAATAATAATAACCTTTCTCTCCTATAAAAACTTTTATCTCAAGATCCCAATGCACTTTCTCAACCAGCATGGGTACCCTGCCCAACCACTTTCGCAAACGGGTAGTTAAACTGCTGCCTTCACCATACTAACTGACTCAGAATGCTAGTAAGGATCAATGGAGAGCTAAGCAAATGCCTAATTTAATCATGAGTTGAATTCTTACTGTTTCCTACAACAAGTTATTATCTCCAAGAGGATAGGACTTCCAGCCTGTAAGAAGCCCCAAGTAAAAGTGTCTCCTTTCTTCCCCCTTCAGCCATTACAGATAAAGAAACAAAGGTTGTAGCTCTGGAAAACTCCCACACATGTGACCTGGACTCCCATCTCTCACAAAGAGACACACATGCACACTGATGCAATCACAGCTAGAAATGAATCAGGGCCCTTGAGGCAAGAACCTGTGAGTAATGCTCCCCAAAGAGCCCAGAGGCAGCTTGGCAAACCGGCTCTATCAGGGTCATCTCCGAACAAAGCAGAGGTGAGCAATGAGCTATAGCATCAGGGAGAAGGAGGGGCTGATACATTGGGTTCCCAGGGCCTGGAACACTTCAGGACAAGGCAACTCAGGGGTAAAATTAGAGGGTGCCAGATAGTGACACTGAGCTTCAGCCTGGGTCATCCCTGAAAACTCACTGTGGGAGCCAGGTTGACTTCTGCCTCTCTGGGGCCCAGTTTCTTGATGTATAAAAACAAGGAAATTGTTATTACAGCATCAGGAAAATCCCTTCCTCCCCCAATACACTGAACTACTCATCGTCTCTACTTCCTGTTCCCCCAAGAGATACAAAGAGTGATCATAAAAAGGAGTGCAGAGAGTTGTTCTTCAAGAGGATTCCAGGTTCTCAGAGAAGTCTGACGCGTTCTCCACAGTTTCCACAGCTACCACTCCATCCATTCGAGACAACAAACAAGCTCACACGGTGGGGAGGGAGAGTGTTGCTCTCTTCATCCTTAAGAAGCCCACGAAAGGTATTTACCACCAGGGATTCGCTTGTGTGGGCAGAAGCAAGATAGCCTCTGGTATCCTAGGAAGGCCTAACCCAAGGTGCCCTCCCTACAGTGGATACTTCAGCCTCGTCCCCACCTTCCTTGAGACATTAGCCCTTAAAGCTTCTTTTTCCTAGAATTGCATCCCTGGGAGTCATTGATTAAAGGGGTAATGACAATCCATAAATATTTTGGCCTTGCTTTTCACCTGAAGGAGAGGTGAGTAAGAAAGATAATCTTGGGTCAACCTGATGCTAAATGGAAGGAGATATTTTAAACAAATAGGAGAGCATCTGGGGGTTGGGGGGGCAGAGAGGCAAGGAAGAGCCCTTGAGAGAGACCAGCAGTTGCTCAGACATGAGCTGTGTCTGTGACATCTAGGTCTCTATTTTTTGTGTTTGACAAAGAAGGAGGGAAGGGGTTGACCCAAAATTTTCCCTTTAAATGGATGACATTGGGAACCAAGTGTTTTCTACCGGGCAGGGAGCCTGAAGTCTTAGTTACCCTCTTCAGGTGGAAGAACAAAGCTCCCATCAGATAACAAGAGGCAGTAGAGCTGAGAAGAGCCCAGCTGCAGGTTGATCACAGGTCAGGATTTGTCTAACAGAGACTCCTTCGGTCACTCCCAGAGCACTAGTGCAGGAGAAACTGCCTTGTAGGATCAGGATCCTACTTTGCTCCATAATCACTTCCTAGAGTTCTTTGAAAGCTGTAAACGAAAACAAAACGCAGACACATCACATCACACAGAGGAGGCTCTAAAACAGCTTTGTAAGCTCAAGAGGAAGCAGGTGTCTGAAAGGGGGAGTGTGTAGATGGAGGGGGAGGGGAGAAGAGACAGCCATAGGAGAAAAGGAAGTTGTTTCTATTTGCAGAGCAAACGGGAAATTGTTTTGTTGAAGATGAAACTCCTATCAAGGCAGAGCCAGTTCCACCAATTTAGCACTCCTCAAAGCTTATTGTTTCTCAGGAGTTTAGGCAGTTTCCACATTCAACTAACATTATTTGCTGTATATGTAATATTTGCAAAACCAAACAGAATTTGCCTCCTTAAGGTACTGAAAATATGATTTATAAAAATTATTTATTTCATAGACACCTTCAAAAGCACAGTTTCTATAAAAAGTGAATAATCCTGAACTTTTGCATTAAAAAAAATCTAGTCCAAATACATAATATAGTTTTGTTCAAAGAAATTGCACATTCACATAGGAAACAACTTTATGTTAAAAAAAAAAAAACTTGCCTCTTCATGGATTAGATTTCACCTGTAACCATATTATATGCAATTTTGCTCATCTCACACATTAACCATCATGCTCTTTATAAATCAAGTCAACAGCAATCAGGTGCCTTTTGTATGCCCAAAATTGCATGGGCTTTGTGAAAGAGATGCACAACACACAGCACCCTATGACACAGATTCCAACCATGCCACCCAACAGCCCAGGTTCTGTGGGTCACAAATGGATTGCCTTTACCTTCTAAGAATCTACAGGATCTTCAGCTGAGATTTCTAGACAATGGCCAATCGAACAAGCAACTGGCCAGGTTTGCCTAAACCAACAGAGTTCCTGGGGTGTGAGACTTTCAATGCTAAACCAGGGAGATGCAGGCAAACCTGGTCACCTAGAGTCTCAAGGGAGAAATGAAATTGGTAAATAATACCAGTGAAGTAAACATGTGCTTGTCCTCCCTTCTCCCTGTCTTTCTCACTCTATCTGTGCCCCTCCCATCTCACCTTCTTAGGGCTGCCATATAACACAGGTACTGAAAATCAGACCCTGGTGTCCTGGTAGACATGGGTCCAAGTTTCAGCTTCGCCATGGCTTATCTCTTGAACTGGCTTAACTTCTCCAGTTCTCTTGCCTTGTTTGTGAAATGCTGAGAACTCCTAGGTTGTGATGAATGAGAAAATGCATGTGAAGTGCTCAGCACCGTGCCAGGAACATATGTGCCCTGCACCATGATGACTGTGCTCATGCCATGATGCGGACTTCAGACTGCCCGTGTTCTAGCTCTAGTGAGACTGATCCCAGGTCCCGCTGTGGGCCAGTGGATGAAACCTTCCTACCACAAGGTACGGCAGGGCCATACACAGACCAATCCTTTGTCCTTTCATCAATATGGAAACAAGAAAGGGGTATTCCTGATGCCATGTCCTGTCTTCCCTGAGATTTTTCCATGCTTCTCACCCCATGTCCTCAACCAAGGTCACAGAATTACCATTCATGTTTGCATGACACACAAATACACAGCTAGACACACACACACACACACACACACACAGCTTTGCAGACTGGTGAGCTGGAAGAAGCCAAATAAATTTTGTGCCTCTTTACTATTTAGGAGATATGAGAAAAATGATATGTCACTAAAGAGGAGAATTAGAAAGTCAAGGCCAGGGGTGGAGGGGGAGAGGAAGCTTCAGGAAGAGAATGTGCAAAGAGATTTTTTTTTTTTTTGACCACAGGGTTCCTGCTGCTAAAAACAGCAAGGAAGTCCTGGCTCCAGTGTGTGACCTCCTGGTAATTTCCCTGGGGAGTCCTGCCTCAGCAAAACGTTACCCCCAGAACCAGGAGGAAGCTGAGCGAGGTAAATTCCCACACAGAGGGGTGGGTGGGCAGCCGGAGGCCCAAAGCCAGGACTGGACCGGTCTCCAGGTCGGCTTCCCCTTCAGCCCCAACAGCCAGCACAGCCGGGAGCTCAGCCAAGAAGAGGGGCTGCCGTGGCCAGGGGCTGAGGCCGGCATTTTCCTTTGTCTCTCAGCTTCCTGTACTTGAAATGAAAGAATCAGAGACTCTCTATGGCCACTCTTGTCTGGGAGTCTTCCCTCCAGAGGTGTTCTTGAATTTGTGACGACTGCCAGGAAGCAGCGTGAGTCATGGCTTCTGAGCAGACAGTATTGAGCCTTAGAAATTCCCAGAGATATGACTTGTTTATAGGAAAGGAAGCAGAGCTCTTCCGAGCTGCCAGGGAAAGAGGGAAGCACTGCTCATTTTTTAAAATACTGCGTTGAAAGGTCACAGGAGCAGCCAGAGTGGCAAGAACCCGGCATGGACACTGGTGTTAGCAGTTCATTTGTCTACATTTTAGGGGCTATTTTGGGGCTTGGCATTTCAAATGCAAGTCCCAAGACATTGAAATACCACTCTCCCTCTTAAGTCCAAAGACATAAGCAGGCTTCGATGGAGCCAGTGGGGTTGGGGCGTGGAGGGGCTGAGGGACTGGGAGATGGTACACAAACAAAGATGCACCTTTGACAACTTCCTCACTTCACATTTCATGAACAGGCTACTGATTTTGATTCCCATATTCCAAGCTGCCTCCTCTAATGTCTTTTTTTTATAATGTTAACAAGTGGGATGTCAACTGCCATTACCTTGAAGGATTGTTCAAAGCCACCAACTTTGGAAAATGTGCCCAAGGAGAGAACTCGGGGGATTCCTCCTTCAACAACTCTTGCCTCTGTGCTGGCCTGTTTCGCTGTGCATCAAGTTTGGCCCTGAGATGTTGGAACTCATAGACACCATGGGTTCACACTTAGCAGCAGCAGCAGCAACAAGCTAAATACAGAGCTTGACTTCCAAGGAGAAACGAATCCACTGAGTTGCCACTGATTCAACAATAATTAGTTAACCCATATGAGAGCTTCGCAGATACTACGCCTGATAAAATCAACACCTCTTCCTAATTGTAAAGCAAGAATTCCCACAGGAATGTAAAGGGGTCCCTTCCATGTGATAAAGAAGGTGCTCTTTGGCCTAACATAAATCAAGATTGTACATAATAGGTAAACATTCATAAATCAGAAACACACACACGACTGCCCTTTAATATCATTACTTTAGATTTGAATGCAAAAGGTCATAAAACAAAAAGTAAACATTTTATGAACTGAAATACTAAAGTATCACAGAAGAATATTTCTGGAAAAGGTAAAAGCATGAGCTAACAGGCTTCCTTAATAAATAGTCATCAAGTGGCTTGGAATAAGGTAAACATCCGAAAAGCAACAGTATTTCTTTAAGAGGACACTTAGCAAATGTTCAGGGAAAATGCATATTATGGGGTGAGCAATTGGTCTCGTGGTTAAGACACCACTTAGGATAATGGCATCCGGGATCCCAGTGCCTGGGTTTGAGTTCTGGCCCCACTCTTGGTACGAACTTCCTACCAACATGTACTCTGGGAGTTAACAAATGATGGTTCAAGTAATTGAGTCCCTGCCACCTCCATAGGATTCCTGGATTGAATTTTGGGCTCTTGATTTCAGCCTAGCCCAGCTCCACCCGTTACTGGCATTTGGGGAATGAGGTAGTAGTCTAGAGCTCCCCCTGTCTCTCACTCTTTCTACCTCTGAAATAAATAAATAAATAAATGTCTTTAAAATACACATTACATAAAAACTAGGCATGGATTTCAAAACTGCTTGTACCAAAATAAACCTATCTTTTCATTCCATTTTCCCACGTGCTCGAGAAAGTACCCTGTTATACTGGCAATAACCAAGAAAACCTTTTCAATAGTAACAACTATAAAACACCTACAAACTCAAGGAGAAAAGTTTAAGCCTTGATTGAGACACATAATTTTCATAATTAAGAGGAATTATATTTTTATTAGATGAAAAAATTTCAACTTAAAGATGGCAAAGCTTCTCAAACTTAATAAAATAATTCTATCCAAAAGGTCCAACAAGGTTTTTCACAGAAATCATTAGAATCAGCACTAATTACAAAGTTGGTGCTTATCTTATAATAAGGACTCAAAACTATAAACAGGAATAATGAGCAAAAAATATTCCTAGGGATCAGTCTTGTCAGATATCAGAACCCATTGTGAAAATTGAAACTGAGTTTTATGTGAATGTAAAAATATAAAGGAAAGGAAAATAACCAGATGCCCTGTAACAGTTCCTATTATATCTACAAAGGGACTTCAAAAAGTTTATGGAAATTGGAATTAAAACACGAATTTATTTTGGTGCAAAATATTGTGAAATCTATGCATGGTTTCTTCATGATATGCTTTCCATGAAGTTTCTGAAGGACCCCTCATATACATCACATTTTCTTGATGATGTTAAAGTTTACAAAGCTTTCTGTTTGCACTTTTATGCTTACATCATGAAGTAAAACAAATAGTATTATTAGCCTCATTCTTTTTCATGAATAAATGATAGGAGAAAATAAGTGATTTGTCCAACATAATAAAATTAAGATAAACTCAAACTTAAACCTAGATTTTTTTTTATTTCCCATACCAGGCCTCCTTTCAATATATTCACCAAAAGCAATGGAGAATCAACATTTAAAAAAAAATCTGGGGCCAGTGCATCCCATATCTGGGTGCCAGTTCCAGTCCCAGCTGTTCCTCTTCCAATCCAGCTTTCTGCTAATGCACCTGGGAAAGCAGCTAAAGATGACCCTAGTGCTTGAGACCCTACCACACACGTGGGAGACCAAGATGGAACTCCAGGCTCCTGGCTTTGTTGCTGCCACTTGGAGAGTGAACCAACAGATGGAAAATCTCTTTCTGTCCATCTCTCTCTCTCTCTCTCTCTCTCTGCCACTCTACTTTTCAAATATATAAATAAATCTTTTTTAAAAAATCCTGAAATCTAAGAGAAAAAATTAGACTTGCCTTTATACTATATATTCTGACTAACAACAAGCAAATTGTTGCAATATTAAAAATCATATTATATTTGGGTCAGCATGTGGCACAGCTAGTTAAGCTGTCACTGCAATACCAACATCCCACATGGGTGTTGGTTCAAGTCCCAGCCACCTCATTTATAATCCAGTTCCCTCTTAATGTACCCAGGAAGGAAGCATAAGATGGCCAAAGTCCTTGGGCCCCTGCATTCATGTGGAAGACCCAGATGAAGTTCCTAGCTCCTGGCTTCAACCTGGCCTAGCCCTGGTGATTGCAGCCAGCAGATGGAAGCACATTCTCTCCCCCTCCCCCTCCCCCTCCCCCGTCCCCTCCCCCTCTCCCTCCCTCTCCCTCCCTTCCTCCCTCTCTCTCTCTCTGTCTCTCCCTCTCTCTGTGTGACTCTTTCAAATAAATAAATAAATATTTTATTTAAAAAATCATATTATGTAAACTCTGGCCAAAATGTATACATGGAACATGAAACTGAACCAGTGCCTGTGACTGTCCCTCATGAGCCCACTCACTGAGTGGGGAGCTACAATGCTTCCTGTTCTCGCCTCTGGCTGGCAGCCTCCCAGACCAGCCGGTTTCCCTTTCTGGTTAAGATGTAGCAGTTCTGAAGTGAAATTGAAACTCTCTAGTGAACAATTGCTAAAAGAAAATGTAGTCAACCCACTTCTGGGGAAGCATGGGATGATCAGGAGGAGCCAGAACAAACATAAGGAACAGAGAAGCAATATATATCACAGGCCAACAGCACAGCCAAAAAAGCAACAGTAGACAGTGAAGAGAAAGGATAGTCTGAATTGAGTGGGCATGGCTGTGTTTCAGTAAAACTTTATTTCCATAAACAGGCAGCGGGCAGGCTGTCCCTTGATGATGCCTATGTTAGACAATTTAAATTCATTTTCCCATTCAATTCTCTTAAATGTCTTTTAGATACGAAATCAGAAGTTACTCAATTTGACCATGTGACATCAGGACAGATACAGGTGGTATCCTCAATAAGCAGCAGAATTAAACTCAGAACTCAGATCGGCGACTACCGAGCCTGCCCATGTACAGTCTTCTTGCTGGGCGGCATCCTCTGACTCAGGGCTGTTAACTGGATTGTTGCAGATATGAATTTCAAGAGGTAGAAGAGAAGCGCCCTGAACTGGCTGAGTCTAGCCAAGCAAGTGTCTGTAGCCCTGAACCAGTCAAGGAGCTGTATACCTTCCCATGTACCTCATACACACACACCCTCTGACCTTTCATCTGCTCCTTCTAACTGAGAGTTGACAGGTAAGGGTGGGAGTGGCCATGGGGATGGGGCGGAGGATGCTGTAGGCAGATTAGTGGCTGTTTACAGAAACCAGAAATCCCCGAAAATAAAGTGACCCAGAGCAATTCACTTCTTAACTTTTTTCAGACAAATCATCTCTTTGTGTAGAATGGAAGTGTCTTTCGTTATGAATTTTTTTTCAGGATGTCAGAGTGATATAACAGGAAAAAAAGTCTGTGTAAAGTTCATTGGGTACCTCAGGGATATGTATTATCAAATGACACAGTCTTATTGTCACCTGGTGTCTCATGACTTCAGCTGGCTCCGGTTCTTTGCATTTCCCTTTCCGCAGGGATCTTTGCCATCTTTACATTTAACACATCTCTGTTGACGGACCGGCACTATTAAGCTGGTGCCTTGACAGCCACGTAGACAAGAGCCCAGGATATATGACATGTAAAGGTGAAAGGACAGTGACTAAGGGGAGCAAATGAGCTTTTAAACGAGCCTGACACCATCCAGCTAGTTTTCATATTGCCTCCTGTGAGAAATCTTGACATATTGGTACATTGCTGTGAGTTATTTCTTTATATGTTGGTGGAGAGTGTTATCTAGGACTACAAACTTATTTTATTTTAAGCTCAATGACATTTCATCAACAGTTAACACAGCATGGGTAGTTCAAACTCACTTCAGTCCAAGACATGAGACACCACCCCCCCGCCAGGATTTTGCTGCTTTTTTTATTTGTTCACTTGAATAGATAGCTCTCTGACTTTATCTACTTTTGATAGTTTCTCTTTTTATACAGCTTTGGTATTTTTTGGCCTCTATGAGGGTATTTCAAAGTTCATGGAAAATGTAATTAGATAATTTATTGGGGTAACAATTTTTGAAATCATTTATATAATGGGTCTTCAAAACATTCATGGAAATGTGTACTATGAAAACATAATGCATGGATTTTTTTTTTAGCATAACATAAAAGTATCTTTACTTAAAATCTGAAACTTGATCATGAGCTTTTACGAAAAGGTATAACAAGCCCTTTACCTCATTTACTTTTAGCTATTTCATAAATACTACAGCAGACGCTGGACGGTGTGTGATGAACGGTAGGCAAATTTCGTTTTCCACAAAGCAAATGTGTCAGTCTTTCCCTTTGGCTCCTCCTTCCAACCCTCCTTCACTGTGTTGAGGAGATATTGAGTTCTTCCAGATTTTTGGTTAGGGGGGTGGTTTCCACACTGACTGGACTCTCCAGGTAGGTGGTGCCTGCACAGGGTTTTCCTGTCACTGGATCTATCACTCTTCCAACTTTGAAAACAATCTCAGCCAGTTCATGCTTCACGTGCTTTGTCCGTGGGACAGGTAAAGCTTTGAGAAGCACAATATCCCCAACAGTGCACTGCTGAAGAGCATCGTGAGCAAAGTAGGTTTTTCTCTTATTAAAGTACTTTAGTAAGTAGGGATCCAGAACAAGCCTGGTCACCCTCACTTTGGCAGTTTTTTGCATTGCTGTCCCAATCACTTTCCCCACAATCCATTTGGCATGGACGGATGAACGAGTTACTGACATTATGTGGCTTTGGTCACCTCTCAGTCCTGCTGGGTAAACTCGCCAATGCATGGATTTAAATTTTCTTTTGCATCAAAATAAAATCATCTTTTAATTCTATTTCTCCATGAACTTCTTAAGTGCTCTGATGTTTTTTCAGTCCTCTATTACTTGGCATATTGTTTATTTCACCATGACATTTATGTATTGTATTTATATATTTAGTAATGACAACTCATTCACTTCAGTTGTCCATGTTAGCTGTGCCTAAAGAGGGGAGCCATTACTCTCTTGCTCAGGGTTGAGGGTAACGTGGCATAGAATGGAACGGAAGTGGAGACAGTGGTTAAGGATTCTCTGGGATAACTCTACCTGGTGGACCTCTTTCTCAACCAGAAGAACTGGACTCAAACAGATAGGGCTCATGTTGAACACTCAGAGAATTCTCTCAATATGAAACTGAGTCTTGTCGCCTGGAACTTGACAATGATTTCAGAAACCATTGGTCTTGATCTCAATTCAAATATTAACATTCTGGACAAAAGCCAAAATAAATTGATATATCTTTTCTAGTTGTAGTTTAATTTTATTTGGTTTTAAGTTCTCATAGTTGATATCTGCCGACCTATATGCTCAGCCATACATTTAATCTGATTCTGTGATCAAGACAGCTGAAAACCACGGCAATTTCCCTGTTATCAGTAAGTTCAGCCCATATATAAACTCAATCTGCTTTTCAACATCTTGGTGACAGTTTCTCATCTGTAATGTAAGAAAATGTCTCATTCACAAATCATTGAAAGAATCACATAATGAACAAGACTGCACTGTATTTTGTGATTGACAACATATATTTCCTTAATAAAACAATGCAAACATCCAAGAAGATGGGCAGTAGATTTCTTGGGTACTGTAGCACTTGCTGGTGCTGATAAGAATTTGTCAATGAGAGCAACTGTATTCATGAAAAAGACTAAGCACTGACTTTAGCACTTCTATATGGATTATAATTTCACCCTCCTTTTTAAAAAAATCATGGAAGTCTAACACATACAGAAAAGGAGGATAAGTACTACAGTATAATGAATTCTCACCAACAGTCCTCAGTAGAAGCAGCACACCCTCAGCACCCCAGAAGCTCCCTCGCATGAGCCCCAGGATGCATTCCTTCGAGGAAGCTACTGTCCTGACTTCCAACACCATAGATCTGCTGTGCCTGTTAATTATACAGCATTTGGACAGACCCCTCTGGGACTTTCTTAAGCTTATCACTGAAGAAAGTCTGAGCCCTGAAGACATGTATTCTTTCTAGGTTGATCTGAGAAAAGAGACCAGGAGGAGAAGGATGAGAAGTAGAACCACGTGATTTGTCATCCAAACTGGGATACTTTGAGAGTGAAAGGAGAGAAGCTATTCACAATAATATGGGGATGAGAGCGTAAGTAGTGACTTTCCCCAGCAAACTAGGACACATGGTCACGAAGTGAGGAGGGATGATAGAGGCAGCAGGGACACACTGGCAGGCAAAATCTATCATCGGGGCCCTAAAGTAAAATTCACTCAGGTTGCCTGAGATGTATGCAGGATTGGGAAGTGGGAAGCACACTTCCTAGAAGTGTGGTCACTAGGAAGACTCAAGTTAACATATATTGCAATAATGCAATGGCACAAAGATATCTCAGGTAATGTCCTTGCCTGTAAGGAACTCACAGTCTGATAGTGGCAATAAAAGAAGTTTGCAAATAGGTAAACTATAAGGTAACTGATCTTGGAAATATACAAAGTTCTAGATAATTTCCAAGGACACATACAAAGTGCTACATAGATTCCAGGGGAGAGGGATTGTGTCCATTGTGAGACATACAGAAAGTTTCATGAGGACATAGCATTTAGGGTGGTCTAGATTTTACTGCAGTGGCTCTCAGCCTTGCCTACAGATGAGAATCACCCAGGGAGCTATTCAAATTCTTAAGATACAGGCAGAACCCCTAGACTAATGAAGTCAAGATCTCCAGGAATGGGACTCAGGCATAATAAGTACTTTAAAAGCTCTCCCAGGTAACTCCAGCAAACCTTCAAGTTTGAGAACAACTATTCTAGAAAGATGAGTGGGCATTAGATGGAAGGCTAGGTGGGGAAGAGAGGAGACTGCAGAGAGAACAGCTGTTAGTTAGTATGTTCCATCTCTGGGAGGCACACAGAGAAGAAGCATCCATTGGGAATTAAATATGGAGGGAAAGCAGCAGGGCAAAAATAATTTAACCCCCTTCAGGAAAAAAATTAATTAATTATGAAAGCATTTGCTAAGGCCAATAATAGGAATGGATGGGGGAAAGATGCAGTGAACATCAAGGGAACTCAGAGTGGTAATAAATCCATCATAAATCACACAAGCCATCTGATAACGTCTGTTCCTCACATTAGCATCCCATTAAGGCTCTATTAGTGATAGTGAGGAAACGGAATGAAACGGGCTTCCTGGGTTAGCATTAGCAGCCAGGAGAGAGTTAACAAGCTGCAATCTCTCGCTGGCACCTTTAAGGACCTGAGGCCCATTTGTAAAGGATGCTTAGAGGCCCCAAACCTTGACCTATCACGCTCATGCTGCGGGAGTTTGGGGGGGCTGGAATTAATCACAGCAGGGACACAATTTACCGATCAATACTGGCCAATTAGAAGGCTCCCTGCTGAAGAGTTCCCTTGGAATGCCAGATGACCTTTGCCCTTGACTTTTTGTGGGGGCAGGTGTTTCTGTATCACAGCCGCTGATAAGGATGGTGTTATGTGGCTCTTCTCACATAATGCCAACCTCGGCCAGGGCATCTTGACGCTGAAGTTTTTCAGCACTTAAGCATGAGCCACCTGCTGGTGGAAGCTAAAGGAAATAGGAATAGAAACGTAGCAGCATTTCATTCACAACCAGTATGCCTGTCACTTATCTGTGGCTTCAGCCCTGACATTCCAGAAGCCACTGACAATAAGAGAAGGTGAGGAAGCACACCCTTTGCCTTCACTGTTGTATCACTCTCCTGCTCTGCTCCCTGTCAGGAAACAGGCAACACTGCAGCCTGCAGAACCACCTGGAAGGAAAAAGCGCCATAGATCCAGTGTTGTCCCTTTATCTGGCTCAAGCTAGAACTTGAGAGTGTGCCCAGGACCCCATCCTCTCCCTTCTTCGGTGATAGCCGGTTGCCATTGTTACTTACAGGGTATGTCCAATACAGTCATCCCTCAGCATCCTCAGGAGATTGGTTCCAGGAGCACTCATGGTTACCAAAATCTGCAGATGCTCACGTCTCTTATGTAACCTAGGAATGCTCATCCTCCCATATACATCAAGTCATCTCCAGATTATTTGTAATGCTTTATACAAGCTAACTGCTGTCAAGCTGTTAGACTATATTGTTTAGGAAATAATGACAAGGAAGCCTGTACACACTTAGGGCAGACACATTCCTTTTTATGTGTAATCAAGATTTGGTTGAATCCATAGATACAGGCTCCATGGCTAAGAAGGCCCACTGTACTTTTTCTTAAAATATATTTATTTATTTGAAAGGTAGAGTTACAGAGAGGGAGAGGCAGAGACAGAAAGAGAGAGAGAGAGAGAGAGAGAGAGATCAATCTCCCGTCCACTGTTCACTCCTCGAAAGGCCACAATGGCCAGGGCTGGGCCAGTCTGAAACCAGGAGCCAGGAGTCAACCTGGTCTCCCATATCGGTGCAGGGGCCCAAATACTTGGGCCATGCTCTGCTGCTCTCTCAGGTGCATCAGCAGGGAGCTGGATCAGAAGGAAGCAGCCGGGACACAAACCAGTACCCATATGGGATGCTGGCACTTCAGGCAGCAGCCTAACCCACTGCACTGCACAGCCCATGTACTTCTTTTAATATTAATTTTATGACATCATTTCCACAAAAGTAATGTGCCTTAGGACACAGACAATCCTGGAAAGTCTTCTGAAGGTCATCATTTGTTTTTCTGTCATTTATGGTTTTTTTTTTTGTTTTGTTTTTTGTTGTTGTTGTTGTTGTTTTTTTGTTTTGTTTTGTTTTGTTTTGTTTTAGTTTTATGTTGAGGAGAACCAGCCATTATTCATCTTTCCTCCTGCAGACTCCAGGACTTCAGGCACTTGGCCCCACTCTATTTGTTTCATCGCCTCTTACAGGATTTCAATCACACTTTCTTAAACGCCACTTTCGGGAACAAGTCTCAACTCCTCCCTTCCCAAGTATTCCTTTGCCCCCTCCACCTCAGAGAATCATGATTTTAAGGCAAAAAATCAAACAAAGCTTTGAGCTGACTTAAAGTCAAGGCCTGGGGCAGTTCATACTGTGACTGCCTCCCCCTGCCTGTACCCCCACCTCATGTATTTTAAGTCCAACCTGATACAAATGACTATTAAGAATACCCTTAACAGGGAAAAACAAACTTTTGGAAGGTCAACCTAGGAACTGTGTGAGGATACAGTAGAGACAGCCTTGGAAATGCAGGAGGGGGAATATTTCATAAACTAATGACAGGTGCATTCTACTCAGAGCATTTAAATACAAGGAGGTTCCACCCTCTTTCTAGCTCAGCCCTCACATCTAGAAACCCAGAGCCTCCACATATGTACAGCATTCAGGGTTGCCCCAGGCTCCCATCAACTGATCTAGAGATGGCCCTGCCCAAGTTCTTTCCTTATGTAGAAGGAGACGATTGTCCACCTTGCACTCTAAAAGCTCATTTGACCTCTGTTGTATTGCATTCTTTCCAAAAATGCCTACCCTGAATCTTATCAGAAGGAGAAAATTCAGACTACTCCGGATTGTGGTGTGACATAGATGGGGAGCCCGGGGGCCATGGGACACAAGAGTGACAAAGTATTACAGAACTCATTGAATGCCAACAAGGGTAGCAGGTGTATTCTGTGTCCAATTTTTCTGAAAGCTTCACTTTTTAAAGTTAGGAGAAAAACAGGTAGCTACTAGAACCATGAGGCTGACATCACTGAGGCTTCCACTTGAAGCAGTACATAAACTCACAGAGCAATGTCTGGGTAAAGCTGCCACTTGCAGTGTCTGCATCCATTATGGGCGCCAGTTCATGTCTCAGCTGCTCCATTTCTGATCCAGCTCTCTGCTGTGGCCTGGGAAAACAGTAAAAGATGGCCCACATCCTTGGGCCCCTGCACCCGCGTGGGAGACCTGGAAGAAGCTCCTGGCTTCTAGCTTCAGCCTAGCCCAACCCCAACCATTATGGCCATTTTGGTAGTGAACCAGCAGGTAGAAGACCTCTCTCTGTCTTTCTCTATCTCTCTTTCTGTCTGTAGCTCTGCCTCTCAAATAAATAAATAAAATCTTAAAAACACAGACACAGGCTGGCTCCACGGCTCAATAGCGCCTGTCTGTTCAGATTTCTCTTGGCCTCTCTGTGTAGCGCTCCTTCTCCCTGGCTATGAGGCAGGACCCTCCTCGAATGAGGCTGTTATGACTACTTTCAGGCAACACAGGCCAGAGTTGTTTCATGTCTCTGCTTCACACAGAAGGGCAGGGTGCCATCAGCACCATCACCTTGCTTCCAGGGCCCTCCTCATCTCCTGCAGGTCTAAGTATTTGGGGGTGGCATTTTTGTGGGCCCTGATACCACATAATTTACCACTTGTGTTCCCAGTGAAAAATACTAAGCCACTTATAGCTTCTTAAAATAGATACATTTGGTGGGACCAAAACAATATTGGAGGGGCCAGTGCTGTGGTGCAGTAGGTTAATCCTTTGCCTGTAGCACTGGCATCCCATATGGGCATTGGTTCTAGTCCCAGCTGCTCCTCTTCTGATCCAGCTCTCTACTGTGGCCTGGGGAAGCAGAAGAAGATGGCCCAAGCACTTTGGCCCCTGCACCTGCATTGGAGACCCAGAAGAAGCTCCTGGTTCCTGGCTTCAGATCGGCGTAGCTCTGACCATTGTGGCAATCTGGGGAGTGAACCAGCGGATGGAAGACCTCTCTCTCTGTCTGTAACTCTACCTCTCAAATAAATAAATAAAAATTGATGTTGTATTGCCCCTGCCTCTTTTAAAAAAAAATTGGACATACTTGATAAAACACCATATTCCAATGTGAGTATAATACACAGTTAAATATCGTAATAATATATTTATTTTTATTTATATTTATATTTAAAATTACACAAGAACTCATCCCTTAGGAAAGCATTAAATAGTAAAGAAAAAAAAAGGATAAAAGACTATCTGGGCTCAGTAGGCTAAGCCTCCGCCTTGCGGCGCCGGCCCACTGGGTTCTAGTCCCGGTCGGGGTGCCAGATTCTGTCCCGGTTGCCTCTCTTCCAGGACAGCTCTCTGCTGTGGTCAGGGAGTGCAGTGGAGGATGGCCCAAGTGCTTGGGCCCTGCACCCCATGGGAGACCAGGATAAGTACCTGGCTCCTGCCTTCAGATGGGTGCGGTGTGCCGGCCGCGGTGGCCATTGGAGGGTGAACCAACGGCAAAAGGAAGACCTTTCTCTCTCTCTCTCACTGTCCACTCTGCCTGTCAAGAAAAAAAAAAGACTATCTGACTGTCACAACAGTGTATCTAAAAGGAAAACATTCAGCATCACAGTACATTTTCAACATGATTAGCAAAGGGAATAATCTACATTCAGACATATAGAATCCATACACCATGGGCTACACAAAAGCTTCCTCAGCTGGGTGATTAGAATTCCAATCTTTGATTTCCAAACATTAGGCCCTACACCAAGAGGGTTTTGCAGAGGAGGCTCCCAAGACTCACAGAAATTGGAATGACCTATGCAAGATCTCATGGTTTTTAAGTGTCGCACTAAGGTCAAATCCAGGCCATATAACTTTAGACTCCATACCCACCCTTATTCCAGGAACCATTTTGATGTCAGAAACAGTCCAGGATGAAAAAAGGGTTGAAAATATTGGTGCACAAGTTACATCACAAGGTGACAAAAACAGTACAGCTGTCCCCTGAGTAGTTGTGGGAGATTGGTTCCAATACACTGGTGGATACTGAAATCCAAGAGTTCTCAAGTTTCTTATATAAAATGGCAAAGTGTTTGCAACTATCCTACTCATATCCTCTTGCATACTTTAAATCACCCCTGGATTGCCTGCAGTACCTAATACAATGTAAATTCTCTGTACATATTTATGATATGATATTGTTTGGGGAAATAATGACAGGAAAAATTACTGTCCAGGGTAGAAGAGTGAACCCACATCTTAGTGAAATCGAATTAGACTGGAACTGCCTAGCATTCTGTGAAACTCCATAGAGGCCTCCCATTTTTCTGAGGGAGGAGTTTATCTTCTGTCTGATTTGGAATGACTGTAACTAGACACTTTCTATATTCCTTGTGGGGAGCAACTCGGACTAGACTAAGTTACTGGAATTAAGACTTATTCTATGCATCTGCTCTCCCACAATATGACACTGAGAAGGGAGAAACAGCTTCTACACAGCTGCCTCCAGTTCAACCAATAAACTGTAGGACCTGCTCCTGATTGGAGGAGAGCAGCGTACTCGGCGTGTGGGTAGCAGAGTTGGGATTGGTGGAAGAGGACTATAAAGGAGGAGAGAGACAACATGCACCAGGAACATCTAAGGGGAACATCTATCTGAAGGAACACCCGTGCAGCCCCCGAGAGAGCCGGCCGGCGGTGTGCTGCTCCCCTGCGGAAGTGGGGAAAAGTGGCAGGGGGAACCGCCCTTCCACGGAGGTGGAAGGGACGGTAGCCAACCCGGGAAGAACCAGCAGCAAACCCGGGGAGGGCCGAGCAGACAAAAGAACAGCGCAGGGTCCTGTGTCGTTCCTCCACGAAGAGGGGGAGCGACATTCCTGACATTGAAAGCAATAGAGCAAGTTCAAGCATAGAGCAAGTTCAAGAAAAAGTGAGGATCCATACTCAGTTGCCTTTAGTGCACTGTCTTTCCTCACCTCTGCAGAGAGCTCCCCTCTTCTTAAAGGGCTCAACACCCTTCCTATCTGTTTTCCCCTCCATGAATTTCTGCTCCAGCAAAAGATTTGACATTAGTGATTTGTACTTCATAGTGAATTTAAGCCAACACATTTCTTCTCTCTGGAGCGATTTCCCCTTAGCCTCAAATACATGTGGCAAGTGAACTCATCTTGCAGCTGGCTTTGACTTGGGGCCTGTGTTCCTTGCCAGAGAAAAACAACTTCAAGGACATCCTTGAGGAGTTCAGTGTCATACAATGTGGAACTTTGGTAGCAGAAGTTTTAATTCACAGATCCTACTTTGATCTAACAAAACTGTTATCTGTTTCAGGAGAAGAAGCAATGCTTGGAAGCAAATCAGGAAAAGTTCGCCATACTGAATTGAATTTAAAAGCAAAGGAAGAGAAATAATAGAAAGAGACAGGAAAATAAAAGGGAAAGAAGAGGAAAAGGAAGAGAACAGGGAAATGATTACCACTCCCTCTTGGAAACAAAGAACAAATAACTCAATGACTGTGTGGAGACAGGTGCCTGCAGAGGGTAGAGCTTGCTGGTGGGAACAGGTGCCCAGAGGGCTGCAGGGATTTCCCTAGTTCCTTTCTCCTTCTCTTTGCTTTACAAATCTTTACCTGTGAAAAGGCTTAAATACAATGACCACTTTTCTCTTTTTCTTATATATTTACTTGTTTAAATTTGTGCTCAAAATTTACTTGCTTAAATCACAAACACATGGAGTCAAGAAAGTGGTATAGTGTGTTAAAGCCTATGGTTAGGGGGCTAAGATCCCATGTCTGAGTGTGGATTCAAGTCCCAGCTGTTCCATTTCTGATCCACCTCCCTACTATGCACCTGGGAAGCCAGTAGATCATGGCCCAGATACTTGGGCCACTGACCCCCACATGGGAGATCCAGCTAGAGTTCGGGGCTTCTGGCTTCTGCCCAGTACAACCCCAACTGTTGTGCCCCTTTGGGAGAATGAACTAGTGTACAGAACATCTCCCTATGTCCCTGTCTTTCCTTCTCTCATTGTCATTCTGCCTTTCAAATAAATAAATCTTTTCAAAAATCACAAATATATGAAAGAGCAACAGTAGCAACCCACCAACTCCATTTTAGAGTTTTTATTTTAGAGTTTTTCTGCATCTGCCCAGTTGTGTTTAATTTTTTGTTCATTCTGCTCTTCATCTAGTCCTTCCTGATGCTAATTGATTTATTTTGACTTACTTGAAGATTTTAAAGGGCAAAGTTTAGTTGATTATTCCTTTAAAAATGTACATCAAAAAAAAAAAAAACAGAACAAAGACTATTCAGAGGTATTAGCTAGTTGCTGTGCAAAGCCCACAAGTTGTTCTCATTTCTCCTTGCAGGATTGTCTTTGAACAGAGACAAACTTAGGAGGAGAAAGGAAGAAATGACGATCATCAAAGCAAAGAAAAGAAGACTGAGGTGTCCAAGAATACCGTGTTGGCTTTTGGTTTATCAATTAAAATAATGCAAATAACCTCTGAATCACAGCAACTTTATTCATAGTGTGTGCTGGAAATGGTAAATCAGCTTAAAAATGTTTTTCTTCAAAAGTAACTCTTTTGTTGCTTAGAATGTCAAGCCAATGATATTATTGATGAGTGGGAATGTTTCTCTTGAGGAAACCTGGTGTCTGAGTTACAGGTTAAAATTGAGAATTCTGTGAAATAATGGCTTGTCTTCAGCCCCATTTAGCTTTGGCTGTAATGGCAAAAGATCCCAGCAGTACAAGTCACAAGTTCTAGTGAAGCTGTTTGACGAATGATTCATTTTTTCCTATGGGCCACATTTTTAAGGGAAGAAGAAATTTGAGTTTATCCCAGAAAAACGTGGGTTCCCAGGGCTTACTCCAGCTGCCACTCTCTTAGACCATTTTAGTGGTAACTGACTTTCTCCACAACACTAGAGTCCAATGCAGAAATTTTTTAAAGATTTATGATTAAAGTTTATACAGATGGCATGGGGATTAAAAATTCCAACAACAAGGACCATTGTTGCACGTGTGGTCTGTGACAAGCATAGTACTTGGTGCTTTATATCATTCTTCATCATCTCTAACTCTCACAAGCAAACTGACATGTTAAAACACAGTCTTTCCAGGTGTTGGTGAAGGTGTTCAATCAAGCCAGCACCAAGGTAGGTAGGGTAGGAGAGAAAGAACTCTAACCCGATCACAACCTGTGTTAGAATGCTACAAAACAGTGGCCCAGGCATAGCAGTGTCACATGACAACCTCCTTGAACAATGCAACCCACCTGTAACTAGGACCAGGCAGTTTCTAACTTACAGTTGAGCCCAACTATCTTATATTTGAGCCTTCTGTTTGGAAAACAAATGGAGAACATGAAAGTTATACAATCAGGAATCTGTATCTATGGGTTCTAAATTTGGTATTAAGCCAACTGATGATAGAAAATATTTGGTAATAATTGCATGTTCACTGAACATATACAGGCCTCTTATTCTGTCATTATTCCCCAAACAATATATTATAATAAAAATGTCCCAAAGGGACAAATATCATATGTTCTCCCTGATCAGTGACAACTAACTGAGCACCAAAAAGGAAAACTGTTAAAGTGAAATGAACACTATGAGAAACGGTGACTTGATCAGCCCTTGCCCTGACTGTTGATGAACAACTTAATACGTTATCCCTCTTAGTATTTTTGTTTGTTTGTTCTACTGAATACTTTTGGTTGAATACTATAATCAGTACACAGTTATTCTCAGGTGTTGAAACTTAACTGCTAAATATAAGAGTGGGAATAAGAGAGGGAAGAGATGTGCAATATGGGACATGCTCAAGCTGACTTGCCCCAAACGGTAGAATTAGAAACATACCAGGGGATTCCAATTCAATTCCATCAAGGTGGCATGTACCAATGCCATCTCACTAGTCCCAGTGATCAATTTCTGTTCACAATTGATCATAATGATAGGACTAAGAGCCAAAGGGAGCACATAAACAAGACTACTGTCTGCAAATACTAGCTGATAGAATAAAAAAGGGAGAGAATGATCCAACATGAGAAGCGAGATACACAGCAGACTCATAAAATGGCAGATGTCCTAAACAGCATTCTGGCCTCAGAATCAGCCCTTAAGGTAAGTGGATCCGGCTGAAAAGCCCATGAGAGTATTGCAGGCATGGAAAGCCAAAACACTCTGGCAAAAAAAAAAAAAAAAAAAAAAAAAAAACACCCTAAATGAAAGATCTCCGTGAGTGAGATCCCAGTGAAAAGAACAGGTCATCAAAGAAGGAGGTACCTTTCTCTGAAGGGAGGAGAGAACTTCCACTCTGACTGCAACCTTGTCTAAATATGATCAGAGTTGGTGAACTCAAAAGGCATCCATAGCCTTGGCAGCTCATGACAAGAGCCTAGGGTGACTACTGATGCCATAAACAAGAGTGTCAATTTGTTAAGTCAACAACAGGAGTCACTGTGCACTTACTCCTCATGTAGGATCTTTGTCCTTAATGTGCTGTACATTGTGATTTAATGCTATAACTAGTACTCAAACAGTATTTTTCACTTTATGTTTCTATGTGGGTGCAAACTGTTGAAATCTTTACTTAATATATACTAAACTGATCTTCTGTATATAAAGAGAATTGAAAATGAATCTTGATGTGAATGGAAGGGGAGAGGGAGAGGGAGTGGGAAAGGGGAGGGTTGCGGGTGGGAGGGAAGTTATGGGGGGGAAGCCATTGTAATCAATATTCTGTACTTTGGAAATTTATGTTCATTAAATAAAAGTTAAAAAAAAAGATTTGAAAAAAAAAGAAAGAAAAAAATGTACAGAGCATTTACCTCATATTAGATATTGCAAGCAATCCAGGGGTGATTTAAAGTATGCAAGAGGATATGAGTAGGATACTTGTAAATACTTTGCCACTTTATATAAAACACTTGAACATTCATGGATTTTGGTAATTTGAATTTTTCCATTGAATAATGAAAGCTAAAGAAGTTGTTTCTAGGCTGACATTGTGGCATAGTGGGTACAGCTGCTGCCTGTGACACCAGGATCCTCTATAGGGCCAGATCATGTCCCCACTGCTCCATCTCCAAGCAAGCTGCATGCTAATTGCCTGGGAAAGCAGCAGAGAGTGGCCCACATGCTTGGGCCCCTGCAAGCACATGGAGGCCCAGAAGAAGTTCCTCACTCCTAGTTCCAAATTAGCCATTTAGGGAGTGAACCAGTCCATGGAAGGTCTTTGTCTCTCCTTTTCTCTCTGTAACTCTGCCTTTCAAATAAATAAAATAAATCTTACCAAAAAAAAAAAAGTTGTTTCCAAGTAGTTTGTGATTGAATTCATGGTAGCTTGTCTGAAATGGCTCAACATCCTTAAAGAGTTCTCTCCTCGAGATTCCAAGATGGCAGAATATGGAGGGAGCTTACTGTTCCAGTCTAGGGGAAGATAGTTTAAAGAAGTGGAATGAGTACAATCTCAGGGAAGAATTAGGGAGAAAACTAACAGAGAAAACTTCATGCAAGTTAGAGGAACACTGTGGATCTATGTGGAGGGTGTGGACACATAGCACAACCTGGCAACAACACAAGATCCCAGCAACTGAGAGCCTCAGCACCAGCTTTGGAGAGTGAGGTGAGACCAGACTGCAGCAGCCCAAGCAATGGGCCATAAAGACATAGGAAGAGCCTGGTGTGACTCCAGCTTGGAGACCTGTAGGGGACAGTGTACCTGCCAACCTAGAGAGAAAAAAGGAGGGGCACGTTTCTCTCTCCCCAACCACCTGGCACCAGCATCTTGTAACATGCCGGGAGAGAGCAGGTGTCATTTTGGACATCCATAACAGCAGCACCGGCTTGTGTCCCTGGGCCCAGCAACCAGCCAGAAGTAGATGCCTGAGTCTGGCTGGAAGAATTGATGGGTGGCTGGGCACTCATGACTGTGGGAGCCTTGTATGCTGGGACTATGGAAACACTGGGGCTGTATTTGAGGGTGCAGGGTATGTCTGGGTCTGGGCAGTTACTTTGGAAGGCTCCACATGCTCAGGATTCCCTATTCATCTGGTGAAAATCCTTGCTGCAGGATACGTGCTCACACTGGGGACTACACATGTCATTTGTGTGCCTCTCATGGTAGTACAGATGAATATTTAAACAACTGGGGCTAGAACCTGGTCACTGGTAGATTTGGAAGAGAGAGGCAAACTCAAGACTACACCAACAGAGCTGATCATACCCTTCCCTCTGATAAAAATTTAAAAAAGAAGAGATTGACCACTCCCAACCTGGTTGTCTTCTTGGACACTCCTCTCACAATGGAAACTGAACAGAGCTCCTTGGCTATGTCCAACACACAGCTCTGGGTATTCACTGAAAGAGCAGGCACTCTACTAACCACAGAGGAATAGTCCAACGATAAAAGCCATTAGAGGGGAAAAAAACATCAATAATCATTCAACAAATACCTAAAAATAAATGCAGAAATTCAAGAAAACAGAGTAACAAAGACAACATGACACCCCCAAAGAAACACAGCAACATTTCAACAACAGCATTTGAAGATGAAGAGACTGAAGAAATGCTGGAAATTGAATTTTAAAAATTGATCATAAGATTGCATAGAAAAAAATCACAAGCAAATCCATACATGAAATGAGTAAAAAATTTTCCCATGAAATTGAGGTTTTAAAAGAAATGAAAATTAAACATTAGAAATGAAGAATTCAATGAAGAATCAAATAAAAAATGTGCCAGAAAGCCTTAACAGACTCGGTGAGGCAGAAGAAAGAATATCCAAGTTAGAAGACAAATCTCTGGAAATTTTACAGTCAGACAAAAAAAAATATTAAGAAATTCCAAAACATAAAAAGAATGTTGGATGTTTATGCGATACTATCAAACAACACAATGGATGGTTCATAGTAGTTTTTGAAGGTGTGAAAAGAAAGAATGGACTAGAAGGCCTTTATGGTGAAATAATTACAGAAAACTTCCCCAATCTGGAGAAAGAAAGGGAGGTCCAAGTACAGAAAGCACATAGAACTCCTAATAGATATGACCAGAAAAGATCTTCACTGCAACACATTGTAGTCAAACTATTTGCATAAAACAAAAAGAAAAGGTTCTAAAATGTACATGCGAGAAGTGCCAGATTACTTTCGGAGGATCTGCAATTAAACTCACAGCTGAATTTTCATCAGAAACCCTATAGTCTAAGAAAGAATTGTGAGATACATTCCAGTCTTAAGAGAAAAAAACTGTGAACCAAGAATACTGTACCAGCAAAACTAATTTATGATGAAGGTGAAATAAAGATCTTCCATAACAAACAGAAATTGAAAGAATTCATCATCACAAACAGCCTTACAAAAGATGCTTAAGGATGTGTCACACACAGAAACATGGTCATCACTATGAAAGAAGGTGAAGGCAGAAAAAGTACAAAGGAAATCCAAAGTAAAAAATGGGAATATTTATGGGAAAATGGCAGGGCAAAGTC